ACCCAGAAAACGCAAACGTGTAGAGAAGCAAAAGTCTTCAGTAAGAAGCACAGTTAGGAACTGTACCTAATACATTATAATTTTGTATGCCCCAGCAGACGTTGTCAAAGAGGGAATCAGCAAGGATGGGAGGGGATGTGTAAAATCCATTTAGGATTTCTTAAAAAAATATAAAAAGCTAAAGAAGCTTGCTTCATAATTTGTTATAACGTAATACAATGTCAGGGAACATAATTTCCTACAACGATTTCCGATTTAAGTTTTTTATCTTTGATAGGGATTCCTAGACTCTGATATCCTGGATTTTTATTTAAGAACAACCGGCAAGTGCTCTTCATCTTAAAAACATCTACTTGGCGCTTTTCATCTGGCAGCTGGCGTATCTGTGATGATGGCAGGGAAGCTCCTGAATGGAAAATTACCGATCTTTGTTTCCTTAAGTCTAAGGAACGATTTTATCCTGAAGCTTCCTGCCAGCGTGATCATGCTTATGACAACAAGTGAAGCAGAAAAAAACTAAAAACTCCCGTGGGTTGTGTCAAGAACAAACAAAAGATGTGATCTCAAAGTTTACTTCAGAGGGCAAGAGTATTTGGGTTTGTTTATGAAGTGCTGCTGCCATCCAGTGGTGAAGCTTTGCATTACCACATGATGAGAGGCATCGAAGATCGCTCTCTCCAAGACGGACATTGCTGTGCCAGATACAGCAGGAATACGGTTTGGTATATCAAAATGTTGAGTACTATTACAAAATTCAATAAACATATTTAAATGAAAGACACAGACAAAACAGGTGACTCACTGTCGCTGGGTGACCCAGTGACGCAGATCTCCTCAGACACTCATTTGCCTGTGGAAAGTTAATTTATTTACAGATTAACCCATTTAAAATTACATACCATAGACCTCGGGGTCTAATTAGTGTCTCATATTGAGCTGGAACATTAAGAAAGTTTCAAAGAGAAAGTTTTATTTATTTATTTTTAACGGCAGCAGTAATAGCACAACTATTTCCTGCGTGACTGAGCTGATTTTTTTTTCCCAGTCTCTGGAAAGGCTGTGACCTCTAATTAAATGGGAATATCGCTGTGAAAAGTATGACAATGCTTCTTTGTGGGACTGGCTTCCTGCATTCCTCATAATTGAAATAGGCCATTATACTGTTCAGCAGCGATGCTTGGCAACACTCAAACCATGCATTTTATGCATGGGGGCCCTGGGCATTTGGAAGCCCCCTGTTGGCCACAATTGCTCACTACACAGGGGGTGGTCAGGGAGGCCCAGATACAAAATACCCCCCCGATATTGCTGCAGGAAGGAAGGAGCCTATTGGTTTTCCACAGCAAAGCCTGTTTCTGGAGTACGTGTTTATTTTTTAAATCACACACATCTAGCACAATCCAGGACATAGGCTGCATTTATAAAGAGCTCTGGGTTAGCTGGAGGGTCCGACTGGGGCTGGCCGTGCTTCTCTACGGTAATGGGCCAACCTGTTGTGCTTTGAAGCCGCTTCATTTCCGGCAAAATCAATACCTGCAAGAGAGCCTTCCTCTCCTGCGGGGTGACTTCTCAGGAAGGCAGGCTGCAATACGCGAAAAGATGGACATCATCACTAGGGGATGAAGAGCATTAAAAATATAGGTGGTGTCCGTAGACCCCCGTGCTGGGATCAGCTCCAAATGACCTCCGCGAGGCCCTCGCCCGAAGGAAAAGGTCAGCACAAGTTACTTCAGAGCCTCTCCATAATGCCATCCAGGCCACAATGCCAGATGACAGCAAGGACATGGAGTTTAAAGGCCACTTTGGTCTGCGATGCGTAGGGACCTGCAGCTGGAATTATGGTGGCACCATGGGGTCAAAAAGAAACACCGGTTTTCAAAACACAATTGACACAAATTGATGTTCACTGTGTAAACAAATCAAAAAGTAAAGATTAAGAAACCAAACAGGATATTTGCCTATTTCACATTTTGTGGACATCGGGCACTGCGATTCGGGCGGTAGCACCATGTCCTCTCACCTTCGTGATTCTACGTTTGCTTCCTGCCCCTGCTCTGCATGTGTGTGTGTTTAAAATTATTACATTGTGAGGACCAGATTTCCCCACTATGTGATTAAAAACCTGTAACTTTCCACATTTTTTGGTCCCCACCAGGGAAAACTCAATTTTATAAAAAAATAAATAATAATAATAAAATGTCTGACTGCAATCAAAAAACTACAAAATGGTTAAGGTTAGGGATACGTAGGAGTTGTCACTGCTGGGATTACGATTATGCCCATAAAAATGAATGGAGAGTCCCCATAAAGACATGAATATATGGACTCTGTGTGTGAGTTTGTATGTGTGTAGAACTTAGCATACTGCATGCAGCTGTGTAAGCTGGTGCCTCTAAACCCATTCTCATAATAATAATGCGAGCATGTGCCTTGCAATGGACTGATACCCCACCCTGTCTGTCCCCTGCCTTATAGCACAGGCTCCAAGCTTGTCATGACTGTGTACTAGATACGGGGCCAGAAGATGGATGGATGGATTTTACAGCTTAATTTAATTTAACAGGTCAAACTTAACCTCTTCCCCAGTGGCACTCTGCCTCCTGAAGACACATAAATCCTTCTCCTGCAGAGAAACGTGATTATAGAGCAGGAGTGGCCCAAACCTTATTATACAAAACCAGCCTTCTGTTGAAATATCTCCAGCCAGCGTAGAGCTGGCATGCTGCCTAGATCAGCGTCACGTCTGCCCCCAGTCCACTCCGCTCTACGCCTTGTGTAAATGCTAATGGTTATTTTTGTAGCTCAAGTAAAGTTACTACAATCTGTCAATCAGGCCCCGAGTGGCTCATTCACAAATCCACTCCCCTGCACTTTGTTCTGCAAAATAAGGACTGCATTATGAGTGTACACATCAAAGAAAAACATGTACAGAGGGAAATTTACCACGATTTGTATTTGGTGTTTTGGGACTGCAAGGAATCGCAACATTCTGACTTTTAGGGACACATAGAACAGGTAAGCGGTAATGATTTATATTTAAGGTTGTCACATTACTAAGGTAATGCCTAAAACAACAGCATCGGGAATGCGTTGCCATATATGTCGATTTTCTCTCATATAATGGTATACTTTTAACTTCTGTAATTACCCAAAGTCCTCAGCCTATAGGCAAGCAGGTGCCCCCTAGTGGAAATGTTTAAGACTGCATTTCTTAGGAGTGGTTTCACCTTATACATTCTTATATCATCTCTTGCTTGGTTAGCATTTGGTTAATATTTTCCACACTCAGTGAGTGTCACAGGACGCTTCCATACTTCTGTCACACGCTGCTTCATAGTCCCAAGTATAGCCTTTCAAGAAGCCACTAGTATAGTTGCTTGTTTACATAAAGGAAAGGTTCTCACCAACGGAAAAAACAACATACAAGAGATTCAAAGTTACACATCCTGTTTGCACAATCGTTTGCAATTTCCACATACTGACAGCTGGCCCAGTGCATATCACGCATGGAAAAGGATTATTGAAAGGCGATCACACACTAATGCATAGTTGTAGTCACAAGACTTACTGCTGGCTTGGTCATGATCGCGACGTGTGTATCATCTGTTCATTAAGACCAGCTGAGTGTTATATTTAAACCCCTCTGCAATATCTACCTCCATCTGCAACACGAACCACTTCATGCCCCATACACTGAATTAGTGCTCCAAGGTGACACACGTGTCACATAAGACTCAGAAAAACAGCTCAAATCATGTTCACACTGCTTTTCACAAACTTCAGTGGTTCAAAGAAACGTTCCCACCTTTTTGTGGTCAGTTCATTGACGAAATTATGAAGCGTGTCAACATCAGTGTCACCTTATGGCAATACATTACACTTTAGTCCTGCGTGGCAGAAATCACAAGTCGTGTAGTCCTGTTGTAACCCTATTACAACGTGTGTTCTTCATGCCCAAGCAAATTCTCAGCTGCTTGACTGGAGCGATTTTCCAAACAAGTGTAGTGCACCACTCATTATACAGTGTAAATATCGTGTTTCCCATCATAATGACTAGAGCTGGGCAATCGGGTTATTAACAAAGAGTTTAGTCCTATGTTTGCTTGTTACTACGGCTTCGTAATTATAGACAGATGCCTTTCTTTAAACTGGAACGGGAACAGGACAGTGCCACACCGACATCCACAGACCAAACGGCGCACTAAAGCCAGTGCCTCTCTGGCCACCATGTGGGGCAGCAGATTCTAACCCCAGGGACAATCTTCTGCGAGTCATATACTCAGCAAGTGTGCTTCAATGTGGCACACACATAAAAGAGTGGGCTGGGATCTTTTGAATGCACAGGGAAGCAGCTTTAAATTCCAACTGGGGTATTATTTCCGAGCTAAACTGTTATGCGGTTTAGGTGAACACGGTACTATTTTTAACACTTTGGGGTGTAACTCTGAAATTGCAACTCTGTCAACAGTATATCTATATCTACAAGACTCCAAGGAGTGAAGATAGCTTTCCATTCTAAAACTCTACCTGTATATTACAAACTATACACAAAAATAACTTGAAAGTCATACATAAATTGGCAGACACCCCTCCTAGGAGAGCAAAATTGGTCTCTGCAAATTCTCTACAATGAATGAATGCTTTATCAACCCCTTACATTTCATAAAGCGCTGCCTGTATTCCGGAAACACTCAAGTTCATGTCTTCCCCATAAATTTTAGATGGTGGTATGAAAAGATCAGGAGTCCTGGGGAACTGTGACATACATCATAAACGATGACAGTGGAATCGTACAGATTTACTTTGCATATTTTATAAAGTCAAATAACTTAGGCTCATACATCTTTAAGGGGAAAACAGGTACATTGCAATACGATGCTGTTCTCAGTCTAAATTGGCCAGAGGTCCAAAAAAATAAATTTCTCCTAATGAACATGAACTAAATACCACACAATCTGCGATTCCAAAAGCAAAAGTGACTGGATGAATGAACACACATCGACTTGAACAAATTTATTTTTCAAGCTTAATCAGTTTAAATATTGCCTCTTTAAAAGAAAAAAAGTGAAAAACTTTATAGTGCTGAGCTAATCCTCAGTGTGCATCTGCAAGCCCTACCCCGCCCCCCCACCAGAGGTTTTTGTGATGCCTGCTTGTGATGCGTGGGGGGGGGGGGGGGGGAGGGTGTCGTCGCTCACAAAATCCGATCCTTCCCCAGAAGTGGGGAAAGCCTAGACAAATTGCCACTATACAAGATCAACGGACAGCAGAGCAAGTTTCAAGGATACCTGAAGACAAAGTTAAAAGCTTGGTTTAATGCAAGAATCATCGTTATACATGAATACCTATTCAACGCTTTGCACCTTTTCTTTTACAAGAAGTACCACATATATCATACCAGCACCTAAATGGTAAGTATATACATTATTTACTCACAAAAAATTAAGTCTAGGATTATCCATGAGGGGAGACATCCGGTATCATGTTATTTTGGAGGGCGATGGAGAAATGAATATTAGGCCATACTGGAATACTAAGTGCGTGACCATTATGGCGCCTGGTACTATGTCACAAGAGAAGAATGGGCGACGGCTGGAACTAAAACAAGACAAAATCAAATTTTGTGGGAGAGACCAGTCTCACAAAGTCCAATATTCTGTCAAGTGGTGTCACACAGGGGCCTGGGAATCAGTCTCATGCTGCAGATATAACTTAATATGGTAGGTGGCAAAGCTGCGGGAATGGGGGGTTTTGGTGACCCAACAAAGCAGGAGTAACATAAGAGTAATCGCGTTCAAACATCTGACCCATGGGACTGGACACAAGTAATTCAACCTTAAACCTGGAAATGTTCACCTTTAATGAACTTGCTAAGTACTAACAGACATTCTGAGTGACCAAAACATTAGTGACATGGTCCAATCATTACTGATCTCACTACTCTTGGAAATGGCATCAATGATGGCCCTTGTTTCCTTAAGGATGGGGGGTGTGGGGGTGGGGATAAAAATGTGCTGAGGATTAAGTGGCTTTTATTTTAAGCAGCACAGTGCATCACTGAGAAACTCCGCTCAGATCATTCGGTTGCGTTTATGGGTCGGGGAGTCTGTGATGACGTCGCCACACTGGGCTGAGGTCCGCTTCCTGGTTCCACCGTTGTCCAGGTGGAGTGCCATCTCCTCTGATATGAAAGTGTTCAAGTCCACGTCGTGGAGTCCATTTCTCCTGCGGCTGGGGTTGGAGCCACTGCCCACGTGGGTAGGAGACCCCGGGGTACTGGACCGCACGCTTATGCTCGCCATTGCTCCGCTCAAACCTAGAGAGACGACACAGCCACTGAAGGACACGTGCAACAGGTGATGACCACCTTTTCAAACCTGACAGCCCGTCCTTGACACCCAGAGCCCAGCATATAGGCTGCAGGCTGACACCACAAATAGCACCCAGCCTGCTCTTTACGAATATATATAGTCACTCTGAAAAGCTGTAATTACAATTTGCCCAGCTGTTAATTTAAAAGGGCTGTCAGGACCCTTAAAAGGAGGTTGAAATGCTTAAACAACCCCCCCCCCTCCCCCAAAAAGCCACTCATCCAGTAAAAGAGCTGGTCTTCAAAGGCCACCAAACTTAGCTATACATGAAACCATGGCCTCCTCCAACCACCGAAAAATAAATTCGCAAAAGGAAAAAACAGGATTCCAACAGCACCTGAACACACCGTGAATCAGGCACAACATACACTGGCATTTATTAGCTATTTATTAGCAGTTACCAACTAACACTGGTTCTCTCAGGTCCACAGGTACCTGCTGTTCATAAAGGTGTCAAAATGGTCTGAGGAACAAAATCACTGCCGCCACTATCCATGACACACACATGCACACAGTCTAATGGGTAACAGACACGGGTGAGATGTACTTACCATGCAACGCTATGGCTTCTCGAAAAGGCTGTAAATCAGTCTCTACGGACGAGCTCGTTTCCGTGGAAGGGGCCCGGCTCGGAGGCACGACAGTCAGTTTCGGGGGGGCTCTGGAAGTCCTTGGTGGGGGGGCTTTCCCACACAGGAAACTGATCAAGTCCTCCCTGCGAATGGTCCTCCTGCGCTTTTTCACCCAGGCCAGTACGTCCTTGTTGCGGCGCTGGTAGCCGATCTGAATTCCCAAGTCGTAACTCCTCTGATGAGCTTCCACGCTTTCTGCAGGGTGGGGGGGGGGTACAGCAGCAAGCAGCCCAGATTAACCGCACAGCTGGGATGACTGGTCAACCACCCCACCACATCGGACACATTTCAACCAAAATCTTAAAAAACACTAAAAACTAAATCACAGACGACTGAGGTAAGAAATTGCCTTTGAACAATCAGTGTGAGTGGTGGGGAAGACCAGGCTGAAACACAGCAGCTAAATACCTTCCGGTACTCAGCACAAGAATTCATAGCTATTCTTGAAAAAGGAAGCCAAACTTCTTTTCTCCTTTCTGGAGAACTCTACTCAAATAAGTGTCACCTGACAGTTTAAATCTCCCCTTTCTTATAAGAAACCAGCCATCTACCACTAAACAGTGATGACAAGTGAAACTACAATTACAGCAGAGCTAATTAACCCAGTGGTATCTCATTATCCCAGGAGAGCTAAGGAGCAGCTGCTTCACTCACACACCAATAAGCAATGAAAGCAATTTGCTCCTATAAGGCATAATTTGCAGCACTGCATTGTGCAGTGTTAATGACACCCAAGTATCAAGTATTCAGGCCTCACAGGGGCAGATCTCAAAATGACACCAGCAGATATGCACAACCGCTTACAAGAACCTTCCCGTTTACCACAGCGACTTTCTAGAACAAGTAAAGTGAAAAATATGGCCTTTATGTATCAACAAAGGGGTTTTAGGATACCGGAGCACAAAGTCAGAGCAGAGCAAGTTTTATGAGTACATTTTAAAAAGCAGGAAGTCGGACATGGGTTCATTACCTTTATATAGATTGGTGACAGCTGTGGCAGCATTCTGAAATGGTACCCAGAGTGAAAGGCCCTGCTGTTGGCACACTCGGTCTGTGGGGTGGGGATAGAAAAAGAAAGAAAAAAAGAAAACCAAAAGACATGAGAGCGCGTTCAGACCACGCCGCACGCCATTAATGTGGTTTATCTAGAGCCAGCTGTGAGCCACCCTGAACAAACGTCAAAAAACGTCACAGTGCCAGCTAGGCATATAGCCGACTGACGAATGTATCGCTATATGGCGATTTTCAAACACGTTATTTTATATATATGTATAAAACAATATTCTGTAATGCGGTCGATTGGCGTTGCGCCATTTCGTTTGGGTCTTTTCAGACTTCAAAGCCGCGCCGGACCGCTGCCCTCCCCCCCCGCCGCCCTTATCTTTCACCCGTCAGCCGAGCCACCCTGCCTGCGCTTCAAAACAGCCGAGGCCCGCATGTAGCAACTTCATCGAGAGGAGGATCGAAAAACACCCGAAATATCCACATCGTGTCATAATGTATCCGTCGCGATGAATTCCCTTCGCCATTTTGTCAGGCGCTCGCAGCTAAACAGATCAAGACGCGACTGGCGTTTCTTTAACGCCGGCTGAGGGAGGTGAATAACAACTCGTCTATTTAATTGTTCGGTTTACTAAACTTATCAACTAAGTAATAGTTTAGTAGGAGCACCGTCGGTTTAACTGGACAGCGCTTAAGGGGGGCATCTGTCGCCCGTGGACCTCCTGCCAGGACTTCGCCATTTTGTTCCCGTTGCGCGGCCCGGTCGGCGCCCTCTGTCTGTGTCTCTCCCCGGGCCGCCGGGCAGCCAAAAATGCTGCCAGGACTCGGAGATCCACCTTTACCGGGCCGCCAAAGCCCTAGTCAGGCCGAACGGAACAGAGGAGGCCGCGTAGCCTCCTCCACCCCTCCCTCTTTCTACATCCCACCCAAACACACTCGGGAAACCGCAAATATTACGGTATCCATCGCCATCTTGTTAAGCTAACGGGTCGCTAACGCCAGTGCCTAGTCAATAACTAAGCTCCCGCAAACCTCTTATTAGTTAGTCTATTAACAGTTCTAGGAAACTTCTCAACAGTTCGTCCGACTGGGAACAGGGGTAACCGATTAGGATTCCAATTTCCGTTTTTGTCCGCTACTCAAAATGTCGGTGGCTAATTAGCGAAAGGGGATAGCTTATTAGCTTATAGGCTAACGGTAGCTAACGTCTGGTCGGCGGTCGGGTGTAACCGGTCTCCGTGACTGAACTACCCGAAAATCAGGCAGCTCACGGCGTCGTTCGGACCTTTATAAAGCTGCGCGACAGCAGTTGCGGAGTTCTGGAAGAGGTGCCACAGTTTTTGTTGGCCCGGATCGGCCTCTTCTTCATTCGGTTCCTCCTGCTCGGCCTCAGCCAAACACTGCCGCTCCCATTTCGAGAACCAGTGCTCGGGACCGTGTTCTTGGATCTCCGCTTCCCCCTCCTCCTTTTTATCCTCCATCGCCGCGTTTATATTGCCTTTTGATTTAAAAGGACAAAGTTATATTTCTGTAAAAATATATAACCGGGCGAAGCGGAAGGACTCTCCTTCACGGACTCATCAATACAATACTGTTATTTCATATCTATGCGTTACACTACTTCACTCTGACAATTCCCAAACAAACTGAACCTATTACGCCACCGACTCGAACCTATAATGAAGACATACTACCTTGCTCACATTTAAAGCCCCACCTTTTTAACGGAAATATTATAGTGATTGGGTACAATCGCACCCTTAACGTGGCTTTTAAATCACATTTAAATATATAACTGGACAAATGAGACGTCTATCAGCTGACGTCACAAAAGAATGCCATGTTTTAATTCGGCATACAAAACGTCACGTAGCGAGGCAGACAAACTTGAATGTATGCTCAGTGCGCAGACTCACAGCTGCCACCGCTCTGTTTGGCTGACACAGCTGAGGGGCTTTACGTTGCTGTCGATAACAAGACATGAGTAGTGAAAACATGCGTCACATGTAGCAGCATATGAAAATGGCCGAGGTGATGAAGCGTTAACAGGACGTATTGATTGATTAGCAGGCATGTAATATGTTTAAATATACTAACGCAAAAATTGTCAAGAGATGGAATACTGTTAATTATGTCATGAGATAAAGTAGGCCTTCTAAGTCAAACACTATTGAATATCTTCAATAAATCAGTAAGCGGCCTGCAGTTTCTGGCCTATTGCTATGTAATACAGACTAATTATAATAAATGCTCTAAGCATCTGATGTGATTTGATGAGCAGCAGAACAGGTCTTAAACACAAGTTTTTGATGTATGTTCACTTATAATGCAACAAAATAATTAAAATGTATCAAGGTGTGGGGCCCAACCAGCACTCTAGACTAGACCGTTAATTTAGTAGAAATGCAACATCAAAATGAAGAAATATGCCAACTACGTATGTTTCTCTTCACAATAGTCTATGCTTCATTTACCCCTGACTTTACTACAACTTCACTTTCATAATGGCCCATATGTCACAACAAGTTTGTCTCAACAGCCTCTGTGATAAGGAGTTTGCCAAATGAAGACTGCCTCAATTACCTGGAAGTGTCTACACTTGTCAGTATTTTACTGATTGCCAGCCAATAAGTCATATTTCTGTCATGATGTTGGTTTTGAAAATAATTTAAATTTATTTGTGCCCAAAACACATTACTGACCATGCCAATAGTAGTAACCTATCTATTTGAATTAATATGTTATAATATGCCCTTGTTCAAAGATTACAATAAAAGACAAATGAGTTATCCAAGTGCAACAATTTCACATTACCATATCCATGCTTAATGACAATTATATGAGTGTACATAAATTTGAAATGTTGGAATGGCCATATGGAATGTTTACTCATTCACCACGCTGGGTGCAAAGACCAGTATACAAATAATAAATAGACAATAGACGTTTGTGCAGTAGTGCAGTGACACAAGCACCACTGCAGACATTAGAGTTGACGTATGGTGCAGGTGCACGTGCCATTGACGTGGTCTACATTTAACTCGTGATGCTACAGATAGGTAAGGGGAAGAAACTGTATCTGAATGCAGTAGTCAGCACTGTGATACTGTGATACCTCCAAGCATGTTCCAGCAGTGAAAGCAGCTCATGCTTGGCAGGTTTGGCGGAATTGGCTCTCAAATGTGGGTATTTTGCTATCACAGACATTAAATCTAAATCAAAACATGTATTTTATATTACAGTATATTAAAATGCGATCATGAAAATGTATTTGTATACTTCTGAAGTGCTTTGGAAAAGTAATCATAATGAGAAATGGTTAAATACTTTTAAAATATTAGAATTTTTCCCCTGATATTTATTCTTTGTAGTCACTGGGACTGTTTGGATGCTATATTTAAGGCTGTGCTGAATCACCATTATGTCTTCATAGCTTTCAGAGATACTGAGAAATGTTCAGTGTGGGATTGCAAAAAGCAATCTCTGTCTTGAACAGAAAATCTCAATCTGTGTTTTGTTTGATATAGTTTGCAAATAATTTCCATTTCGCCACTCTGTGCATCATTGCATAAGGAAACAATGCACAGAGAATAAAAAATGTGCCTTCAGTATGTGTAGGCAGTAGGGTATTTTCCATTTGCTACAACCCCAGTGGATCCAGTTCTATTTACCATAAGGATTGTCATGCTTTATGAAAAGTAACTGGTGAAGAAAACAAAATGAAACAGACAGCTTTGACTTTTGTTTTGCTTGAATTTTTTTTTGTTGCAATATAAACAAAAACAAAATTCCCACAATGCATTGAAATGTGGTTGATGTTGGCAACACATAGGTACAGCTGAGGTGTGTACCTGCTTGGTTAATCATACTGATTGTAGCTGCTAGTCAGTGCTGGATTTGATGATGTCTGTGAGCTGCTTACATTCCTGTAGTCCAAGTGCTGCAAAATCTGATTCCAGGGGTTTTGAAGGGTGACCTGGTAGTTCAGGACATGGCTGAACCATTGCCCTAAGCCTGCTTGAATGGCCTCCCTCCATTCCCATCATATTGTCTGCCTCCTTCCCTCCATCCAAAAACATGTGGGACTGGACTTCCTTTAGATTGTGATTATGTGTGGAAGAATCTTTTTTGACTTCCTGTGATTTCCAGCAGAAGATCAAAATCATTGTAAATATGGCTGGATAAGCTGCTGTAAAACAAACCAATGGAGGACTGTTTTGTTCCTTATCTGATTAAAATAAGATTAACTTTACTGGTCCCAGGGGTCATTGTAATTTTTAAATATGATCATTCTGGTTTTGCAGAGTGTTTATTGTAGGCCACAGTGACATTTTTTTTAAATCAATTTAATAAGGTAATTTAGCACATTTTCGCTCTGAAAACAGGCATAATCAGAATACTAAATAATCGGAGTAAGGGACTGTAGAGAATAAGGGCCATTTAGTATCGTTTCATACATAAGGCATACGTTTTTCATATTTAATTTTTATGTATCTACATGTCACATCTTGCAAACATTTTTCCTGTTTAAGTAAAATGGGTTACTGTATATGTAACACAAAATGCGATGTTAAACAGTGCCACAAAGTTCCAATTAATAATCAATGTAGTGAATAAAAAAAGAATGCTTTATCAGTAGGTTTACTGCAAAAACTGCTGTGCAAGGACTTTATTTGCATCTGAAGGAGGTATTTCCGTAGGGATTTTTATTATTAATATGGCATTACTGTGCTACATTTCTGTCACAATAAATTCAGCAATTATAACATGAGTATGAATCATTCAACGAAGATAAATTTGCGATCACTTACTGATATAAATTTCTTTTAGGAGAAAATAATACTAAGCTTGCAGTATTTGACTTTTGTCTAAAAAGCACCGCAGAACATAAAAGGGGGGCTCTGGACACTATGTGATTAAGAATTGCAAGGGCAAATAATGATTATTTGTGTATTATTATTAATAACAATGATGGTAAATTGTAAGCGCGGCTGGCTGCTGGCGGGCAGCGCAGCGGCGCGGCGCTCCGGTCTCCATGCGGATGTGACATTTCAGAGCAGAGCGCGACCGCCATTTTGAGTTTTACCTCAAACGGAACATCACAAACCGAGAGAGTGGGGCGAGAAGCTTGGCTGTGACTGGGCTCAGAAAGAGAAAAGGCCATCGCATATATTAGAAAACAAGAAGAATTGCGACGACAGTAACCGTCACCATCATCGACGGCTGCACTCGACCGCGAAAAGCTGGAGCGTGTCCGTCCGTGTTGGTAAATACGGTGGTTTCATGTCAGGGGGGGAGGAGGAGGAAAAAAAAAAAGTCGAGCACCGGCCGGGCGCCTCGCGTCGCATCGCCGCCGAACTTCCAAATTAGCGCGATTCCCGATTAGCGGCGCGTTTGAATGGATAGCTTCTCTAGTCGCTCTCCCCCAGTAGCGGGACGGTCGGAGGGGCGCACGGACTGGAAAGGCTGCCGCGGAAGCTGTGTTTGAGCCGATATAAATATCCCGAGATCGCCTCGATTTAAATATACGCAGATATACGCGCGTCGGCGTGGTGTAGCCCATTCGGCCCGGGCTTTAGCTGCCTGTCTGGCGTTAGCTAGCCGTTAGCACCCTGTTTGTGCTCACCGGCTGCGGGTAGCGGTGCATCTCTGCCCGACTGCTTCACTCACCTCGCCTGCCGCCCCATATTTTTGGGGTAAAGGCGCACTGACTTATTTTATTCACGCGTTGGAGCCCCGGTTTATCTAGCGCCGCGTAGCCTCCCCCCCGTTAAGGCGCCGAGATTGGGCGAATAGCGAGCAAATACGTCCGCGTTTCGCTGCCTGCTCCCCCGCCGACCTCCCACCCCCAGTCCCCGGTGCTGACGGCAGATAAGGCCCAGGTCGTCTCGGAGCAGGCCCGGCTGCCCGGACTCGACCCGTTGTCCGCACCTCCGCGCTCGCAGGCCCCCCACCAGCCGCCCCGAACCCAGCCGACCCCAGAAGCGACGTCGGAGAAGGCCGAGGGGATAGAAGAGGAAACCGAGCGCCGCGCCGCAACACCCGTCGACATGAACCACCACCATCACCATCACACCCAGCAGCAGCAGCAGAAGACCGGCGAGCAGCAGCTCAGCGAGCCCGAGGATATGGAAATGGAAGGTGAGCGGAGGCCGAGGCGGGCATTGTTCCCAGCTCCGTGTGCTGGGCCGGACTGGGGGGTGACAAACCTCAGGTTATATCTTTGGGGGTGCGTCGCGGTCGTCTAGCGGCGTTAGCTTTCGCACCGCGGGCTGTCCTGCCCCGGGGGCCCGGATATTTTATATACTGAGGGGGGACGTGCGTTATGTGTAGTTATTTTATAAAACAGCAAAATCCTAAAGTAACACTGACTTCTGCAATCAATGTTAACTACCTATATGCCCCCCAATATACTAACGTTAACAGTGCGCCCCGTTGTCAGCTATATCAATCGCCAATTCGTTTAAAACCCACTAGTAGTACTTACTAGTATAACCGCGACTAGGTGGGAGTTAATAGACCGTTGGGCCGGTAACGTTATCCTTATTGACTAGGTGGGTTGGTGGGTGTATAATTAGGTTAGTTTTTTAATTCCTGGTATTGCCGGTGTGTTAGCGGCTCGTTTTACCGATCCGGGAAGCATAGCGGGTAATCTGCACTAACCACACCGGCTGCTGGAGTGGATACCGATGCGGTAAAAACCATTAAATGATGGTGGAGGGCGGCAGGGTGTCCGGCCGCATGTTTAGCCGTAAACGTCGATGGCTAGTTGCGACCCAGCCGGTCACGGCGCGGCGAATTAAAAACTGAGGTGAACTAGCGAAGTATCCCATCAGATGGGCTGTGTTTCTCACGGGGGATCTTGGCACGTCAGGGAAATGCTGTTATTTAGCCGGTTAAACGGGTAACTATCGCGGTGAAGATGTGCTGGTTAAGCGGATAGCTAGCGATTTATTAGCTTTCGGAAGGTGAAGGCAGTTTGCAAAAAAAAAAAAAAAAAACTGCCTATTTCCCGCCTCTGTCGACGTTCAGATTTTAATTATTAATGTTTTTAGCTGTAATGATAAATTTAGAGTGATTTTTCTCCGAGCTGCTAGTCGAATTGAATGACACACAGAATAGCTACTTAGCACGTTAGCCAACTGGGGGTGGGGGGGGTGGTGAATGGCCATTTCCATCCAAGATGGTGGTGGGATATATTTTGCAACAACCCATTTTTTTAATGAAAGACCTTTGCGCATGTTTTACTTGATCGGGATACTGACAGGAGGGTTAAGACTTCCTGCGTGAGCGCGATCACCGCCGGGACGGGACCGTCAGCTAGTGAAAGTTAGCAATGCGTTTGACCCGCGATTACTGGGACATCGCGGGCAGTGCGGTGCCGTGCATTTCCCCCTAACATTGCGGGGACGGGAAAGTGGTAGGGATGCACTGCTGCTTTGTCCCGACCCGGGATCGGAGCACGGAACAGGCGCTGCCAGTCCGATTTTGGCTGCGGTGCGAGTAGGCCTGCATGTGGGACCTGCGCCGCGCGGTGATTTGCTGCTTCATTGTATGAAGACACCACGCGTGGGGCTCGCCATTTTTAATCATCCACATTTTCTTTCATCCCCCCGTCCCGTCTGCTGTCGTCACCTATTTCTGCGGTCGCTTAGTGGACTGCCGGCCCGGAGGCGATATTTTTTCCTCTGCTTTTGCATCTGGGTCCTTTGTCGATCGGGGTAAAAATCCGAACCGCAAGTGCTATCAATGCAAAGTCATTAATGACTGCTGGCGAGCCAGAGGCGTCGCTGGTTTATTTATCGGGGGCTGGTCGTCGGTTTTCGGGCCTGGTGTCAGGAGCTCACCCGACAGGCCGCGCTGATCGCCGCAATTTTAAATGCGCATCTAAGGCACTATTTAAGTTACCGTCCGCTCCTGCCGTTTTTCCTACACGTAATTCGTGAACGAACGCACGTCAGGAAATAGGGCCGAGGCAGCATCCTTATTCTCCGTATTTCTAGAATTACACGCGTTAGGGAAAACCCGGAAACATCAGGAGGAATTTACTGTGTTACAATGTATGTGGGACAGAATTCCATATTCCTGAGTTTTATCCGACATTGTATGGCTTGTTTACCGCTTTGGTAATTTTAAACGTGATCTCATCAAGGGAAGCTGGGGTTCTGTTACACAGGCTTCCTATTTGTAGTTTGAATTAAACAGTCAACAAAAATTTATGCTAAGACTACTTGTGTGACAGTCCTGGCAACCTCACAGGCCTGTCTGGTGGCTGACAGGATCAGCCTGTCCCAGCCGGGATGCGTCAGCATTGAGGCTTAACACTAGGGACCGGATGCTCTTATTCCAGATAAAACCCTACTCCTGCATGCTGGTGGTTCATGGTGCGTCCCATAACACATGATGCGGTTGAAAGCCACGTGATGCTTTTAAACTCGCGCTAACAAACATTTTTTATCTTATCTGAGGTTAAGTGGGGGTGGGGGAGGGGGCAGTGTCACTCATCTTTCTGAAAGTGATACAGACATTCCTGCAAGGATTTAAGAGCAACTATCGGCAGTGAAGCTTTAAACATAGAAGCCAGACACAAAAGCCTCGCATCAGTACGAATGCATCTATATGTGGATATACACGAATGTATACAGCTAAGGGTTTGTGCAGGGAATGAGCAATGTGGTTACTGATGACATAATCACCACGTTTGCCCTGAATTCTGACAGGCTCGATTATTTCCCATAATCCTTTGGCCGGTAGATGAACTTCTGTTTTTGCTTCAGATAGGAAAAAGCAGTCTATCACAGAGCTGTGAATTTGGTTCTCATGTTGTCCTAATGTCTGCAGGATGCAGGCCCCGCTTTGAGATTCACTGTATGTAGTTCTTCGATTTTTATTGAATTTTTAATTTTTTTTTATTGCATCCGGAGGAGCGGCAGTAGTACCCACCTTTCTTTTCCGTTTTCCAGCTGGAGACACCGATGATCCCCCGAGAATCCCTCCGAACCCCGTCATCAACGGAAACGTAGCCATGGCTGACGGCCACAACAACACAGAGGAGGATATGGAGGATGGTGAGGGGCCGGCGGGTCTCCGGGAGAGGGGGGGGGGGCGGTCAGGGAAGCTACAGGAGCGTGTTGGTGCCACCGTGGCGCGTCTGGACGCGGTGACAGACCAGATCAGCTCCTCCTTCGAATGCCACCTGTCTTACGTTTGGTTAAAACCTCTATAAGGCATAGCACAATATGGAAAAAAAAAAATCCATTAAATTTAGTTAACTGCATTTGAAGTACTTTTTCAAATCCCATTTGTTTGTTCTGTACGTTAAAGAAAATATAGGCGCTTCAGAACTTGAAATCAAGCTTTGATGTATTAAGCGCCTGCCGGCTGTTCTGTCCCCCGGCCACCTCAGACACCAGCTGGAGATCCGAGTCCACCTTCCGCTTCGTGGTTGAGCGCTTCAGCCGGCTCAGCGAGTCCGTGCTCAGCCCATCCTGCTTCGTGAGGAACCTACCGTGGAAGATCATGGTGATGCCGCGCTTTTATCCCGACCGACCCCACCAGAAGAGCGTCGGCTTCTTCCTGCAGTGCAACGCTGAGTCCGACTCCACGTAAGAGCCATTCTGCGCGGCGTCTATGCCGAGGAGCGTCCGGGGTAACGGGGCACGCGTGACGGAGCGGAACCGGTCTGACCGCCAGTTAGGTGCACCCTGAAATGCTTCTATTTGAATTGCTCTGCATCCTGGTTTCTTTTTAGAGCTAAGGAATATGAATCATCCCATGGAAGCATTAACTGGTGGTATCTTTGTGAAGGGCTCTTGTTGGACACATGACAGCTTGTTTTAGAGAACTTCAGCTGTGTTGAGTCCGGTAGAGATGCATGATATATAGGCCAAAAATTAAGACATTGACATTGGCCAGGGTTGTCAGTCTTGGCCGATAGTCAGCTGATATTTAAACTAACCCATATTCAGAGTTAGCAGCACCAGAGGTAAAAACAGAACTACTAAAATAATGAAGATAAATGGGCGATCGTTCGTGCAATTTCCTAGTGGAGGGTGAGGGGATTTTTACGGCTCATTCGCCAAGTAGATCCTCACTACAGTCTCCCAAGTCGGCACTGCTTCTCTGAGGTCTCACTGCCTGCGTTATATGACGTTATATGGCTGCTACACACATTCATAGGATCTTAAGTAATAACATCATTGAGGTTGTTTTTTTCTGTGGATTTGTGGAGCTCAGGGTTTAGCCGGTTGTCGACATCAGTAATAGACAAAAATATCTTATCGGTATCCGATTACTAGCAGTAATGACCATTGGATGTTTCCCTGCTGATCTGAGTGGTTCTGCGATCCCTCACAGGTCCTGGTCCTGCCATGCCCAGGCCATGCTGAAAATAATCAATTTCAAAGACGACGAGAAGTCTTTCAGCCGGAGGATCAGCCACCTCTTCTTCCACAAGGAGAACGACTGGGGTTTCTCCAACTTCATGTCATGGAGCGTGAGTCCATTATGTCACTCCGGTTTATGCGGAACGACTGTTTTCCAGCAGCTGTGCAGCACAGTCATAGCATGTGTAGTTTTTATCAGGTCATGGCTTTTATGTCGTTGACTGGTGGGTCCCTTATGATGCTGCACCAATAGCTGTTGGCTGTTTTATTTTATCGTTCCGGTTGCGGTGTCACGAGCACTTCAGGACGAAATGGATGCTGTCGGTCTGCTCGAGGTTTACCTTAGTTTGGCTGCGTCACCTGCTAGTGCGCAGCTTTTTCAGCCCGACCGGGAGTCCATGTCTTTAAAATCGGCACACCAATCACAGACGCGTGACCCAAATGGCTGCCAGTCTGAGCCCCTTGCGGCCTGCAGATTTCTCATACTCCTGAGAAAGACACTTGACCTTAATTGGTTCCGTTTTAAAAATAAATAAATAACCCGTTGTTGCGATGAAATTGGATCAGATCGCCTTGATGCTGAGCAGTGGAGGAGTCATTTGGGTCCGTGTGGTGAAACTGAAGGTTTTCTCCACCGAATTCAGGATGTCACAGATCCAGAGAGGGGCTTCATCGAAGACGACAAGGTGACCTTCGAGGTCTACGTCCAGGCTGATGCCCCGCATGGAGTGGCGTAAGTTCACACCCTTTGTCCTCTCCTGGTAGACCACCTGATGATGTATTACACCTGTGGTATCAGCACTGATTTAAGACGCATCTTTATATAATCACACCCTGCCAGTCAGGGCGGGACCTTAGCGAGGAATAGCTGCTTTTGGAGTATTTCTATAGGTCAGGGCTATTCAAATCTTCAAGGCCCGGGCAGTGCTGATTTTTTTTCCAGCCTTCCTTCACCTGTGAGCCCAGGTATCAAGCCTGTGGCCAATCAGAATCAGTAATTATTAAACTAACCACCTGGGAGAACTGAAAACGTGGCCTGGATTTGGAATCCATGGCCTGATTTGAAGAGCCCTGCTATAGGCTGACTGCTGCCCTTCATCGCCCAATCACAGGTGGGATTCGAAGAAACACACAGGCTACGTGGGCTTAAAGAACCAAGGGGCCACGTGTTACATGAACAGCTTACTGCAGACGCTGTTCTTTACCAACCAGCTTCGGCGGGTGAGTCTCCGTCCTGGTCTTGCTTTGCCGGCATCGTGATCAAACAGCACCTAACCAAGGGCCCCCTTTGTCCCCAGGCCGTGTACATGATGCCCACTGAGGGGGACGACTCATCAAAGAGCGTCCCGCTGGCGCTGCAGAGGGTCTTCTACGAGCTGCAGCACAGCGACAAGCCGGTGGGCACGAAGAAGCTGACCAAGTCGTTCGGGTGAGAGGACCGCGGGGGGGTGCCGGCCGCTGTACTCTCCATAAAACCTGATACAGTAAATCAATCTGACATAATTGCTGAATCATATATGCTGGGTGCATCATGTTAAAGCTGTACGTTCGACATCTTCAGAACGAGTAATGTAGAAACCCCCCATAAAGATGGAGACTAATTTTGTTAATTTGCATTGATCAGATTGCATGTGATTCCAGATCAATCGCATATACGACCATAAGAGTTGGATAATTACGGTTTCGGCTTCCTAATGGGAATGAATCTTTTATCTGTTCTCCAGTTTCCTGTCTGTGTCTTTATATCCTTATTCCCATGGAAAGGATTTCAGTTGCACTTAAAAGTAACACACATGCAGTGCAAGTGCCCGTCTGATCCTGAAACCCCCGCTTACCTTGGCAGGTGGGAAACGCTGGACAGCTTCATGCAGCACGATGTGCAGGAGCTGTGCAGGGTGGTGAGTACGGCATCCTACCGTTCACTAATTTTAAGTTCATTACTATCTGGAAACGGGTCCCTTGTAAATTCATGCCGATTCACTGTTATCTGTCCCACGCGTCTGATCTCCAGCTCCTTGACAATGTGGAGAACAAGATGAAAGGCACGTGTGTGGAAGGCACCATCCCAAAGCTCTTCCGAGGGAAGATGGTGGTCAGTTGACATATTTATTTATGTATCCCACAATTTCTTACACCTTGTTTCCTGTGTTGTGAATGTTTTTTTCCCCCCTTCAATTTCCTCCATTCTAGTCCTATATCCAGTGTAAGCATGTGGACTACAGATCTGAACGAATAGAGGATTACTACGACATCCAACTGGGCATTAAAGGAAAGAAGAACAGTGAGTCTGCCGTATATGCCGGCTGTGCATCTCCGCGTGTTCCTCCCCACGCAGGAACCCTGGGCTATCAGTCATTCTTGATCAACCAGTTCCTTCTGCTTGCAGCGGCGATTACTGAATTGCAGCACTGGTTGTTTTCGAAGACTGGGAGCAGTTTTCAAAACATTTGCTTCGCCCTAGTCCGTATGCAGCAATACATAAATATGATTTGAGGACAAAACTGTTCTTTTTGCAGATTATTTCTTGTAGACACATGCCAGGTTTACAGGTATAGCTACTATTTCATGCATATATGAAGCTACCGGGGATGGGCCGAGCCACATTTTTTCAGTTCCGATCCGATTCCAATACAAGAGCTCTTTTTACTTTAATATTTCAATAATGTATGAAAATTATATGATTAGAGTTATTAAACTAGCAAATACAGATGGAAAAAAGTATGCCAGAAAATCTTTAATTAGGCTACTAGAAAAATGCATGACGTCCTGTTCCATGTCATCTGTACATCTCATTTTAAGCGTTTTTGAGGCGTTCTACAGTTCAATTTGAACATCTTCCAAGCGCGGATACGCAAGTGCTGAATGGTTAAAATGCACCACAATGTTTCTCCCACTGCCAACAGCGTCACTTACACTTCATAGTGATAGCAGCCCCTCCTGTATCACAAGCTGTAGCGAGTGTGAAACAGGCCAAGCTAGTGACTGCTAAATCATCCATTGCTTTTTTCATATTGCTCTCATCTCGTACAATTGCGTGCACTTTTAGTGGGATTTTCCACTAAACGCTAACTCCCACTTCTTAACTTTATTTTTACAAAGATTGCAAATCACTGTGCTACTAGTTAGTGGCAAATTGACTGAGGCCTTCTGCTTGAATTCCACAAAAAACACATTTAAAATGGGAGAGAGCTGTCTGATTACTTGAACAAATAGCTCCTATTTTATGTTAAGCCTATCTTCTTAGAGACTGCCAAAAAGTAAATAATTAAGTATCAGATGTGGATCGGTCATGTATGGTCAAATAGGTCTGGATCGGCTCTGGTACCAATCCGAATATCGGATCAGTGCATCTCTAGAGGTAACCCTGCCTCGGGTTGAGATTATCCTTCATGTTTTTAAGATATCCCTTTCTTGCCACTGGTTTTCTAGCCTGTGCCATGTCTGACAGACAAACATGTATTTTATTAATGCTGAAGGAAAATCCTGGTTTATAGTAGCCTGAAACACATTTTAGATGGTGAAAGACATTTACACGCTTAGACTGACAATAAAGAAATGTACAGGGATGGTGCACAAAATGTTGCGGAGTTCCACAGTAACGGCGCAGTGGATTGAATGAACGAGCGATCTGTAGTCTTACACTGGGGGTGTGTAACACAGGCTGCCGTGTGCATCGTCATCAGGGAGGTCTAATGCTGCTTCTCTCCGCAGTTTTTGAGTCCTTCAAGGATTATGTGGCCGTGGAGCAGCTGGATGGGGACAACAAGTACGACGCGGGGGAGCACGGTCTGCAGGTGGGGGTCGCGGCCTGGGCAGGAAAGCTGGAGCCCCCCCGGGCCCCTTCACCTTGTTGGCCGGGCGAATGACCCCTGTTCTCTGGTTGTTTCACAGGAAGCTGAAAAGGGGGTGAAGTTTCTGACATTCCCCCCGATTCTGCATCTGCAGCTGATGAGGTTCATGTACGACCCTCAGACAGACCAAAACATCAAGATAAATGACAGGTAATGTGAACAGAACGGCCGTTCACTGCTGCCCTCTGGGAGGCGCCCTCGTCTTCCTCCCCCCCCCCTCTGCCCCGAATGTCATCCATTCTCTCCCCCTCAGGTTCGAGTTTCCCGAGCAACTGCCCCTGGACGAGTTCCTGCAGAAGCCGGATGTCAAAGATCCTGCGAACTACATCTTGCACGCCGTCCTGGTGCACAGCGGCGACAACCACGGCGGCCATTACGTCGTCTACCTCAATCCCAAAGGAGACGGCAAGGTGAGCGTGGAGGCCTCCTCTCTGCCTTGGGGTGCCGGCCGTCGCAGGGGCCGTGCTTTAGTCGCCGGAGGCTGGTTCATGCTTACTGGGAACATGGCACCACTCTCACGGAGGTGGTGGTGGTGTAACTCTCATCACCGAGGTCGGGCCCGCAGACTGAGTTTGGGCGTCCACACACCCCTTAAATTGGAACTACACGTATAGTCCGTTCAGTGATGCAGACTAAGCCTCAATTGTTCATTGGCCAGAGGAAAAGTAGCAGGAGTCAATTGTATACAAACATTTTATATCCCCTCTGTTCAGACTGAAGCAAACGTATAGCTTTGTGGATTGAAAGAAAGTCCGCAAATACCAGTATTTATATGGTTTCTTAATGGATTATTAACTCCCAGCTGGCTGCAAACTAAAATAAAATGTTCAAACAGCATATGCCTGCGTATGTCCTTGCACCAGTTTTTTTTAAATTTAAGTTTAATTTGAAATTTCATTCTAAGTATTTAGGTTTTGTGTTTTTATTTTAAATTTGTATATCTGTTTAGTTTTTAATCTATGTATTAGTTTTAGTTGTGTCCCAACCCCACCCCCCCCCCCACCCCCCCCCCATCAGCATGTGTCCTGTCCTTCTGCCATGTATTGCCTAAATACATTACGGCACAAATCTTTTATTTGAAAAAGAAAAAGTCGTTTCTTAGTTGTTGGTTATTCACTGGGGGGATTGATTGCAGGGCACAGGTTTTTATTTCTATTTTATTAATACGACCCAACGTTTATGATTCAATCCTAAATCTGGCCAGCAGATCGATGTTTAATTTTCCACAGAATAAAAAACACAATGTAGCGTTATCCTGCTAATAAGCGCCGGCCCCGGTGATGTAGGTAGACGCAGGTAAACAGTATTCAGTCTTATTGAGGTACAATCTGCTCCGTCTCTTTTCCCGCACTTCCACGTAACTTCCATGTTAGTGCCAGTGCTTGTGGTCCAAGCAATCAGCAAGTAATCGCTGTAAGTGCCTCCATCACAGTGCCTCAGAGGAACTGAATCAGAGAGAGTTCTGATGATCTTGCTCACACACACACATGCATACACAAACCGATTCTCGCTCTCTCTGGGTGTTTCTATATATGACAATATGGTCAGGCCCTATATCTGGGGCATGCTTGCACATAAATGAGGGCCGAATATGCAAGTCGCAGTGATCTGCCTAGTTAAAACATTTAGTCGCACTCTCCAAAAACAGTTGCAAGATGCGACTATAAATGGTGGCAGTCTGGAACCCTGTGGAGCCATACTTTGATTCCTTCTGCGTTTTCTATGTGTCAAAAACAAGACACACGAGCCAAGAGTCTGTTTTTCCTTCAGGCCTCCGTGATGTTTGTGTAACGTTACGTTGGACAGCCAATCACCACTGACTTTAGATCTCTACACAAGTATGCTGCATGGCTTATTAGCTCACAGACACTGAGATTTATTGTTTGGGTATCATAATTTGGCACCGAAAGAATTTTTCGATCCTTAGTAGGATCGGAGCCTTTCGGTTGGTACCACAAAAGTACCGAAGTTCGTTTGTATGAGCCTGAATGTCCCCTCTTATTTGACACCACAGTGGTGCAAGTTCGACGACGACGTCGTGTCCAGATGTACGAAGGAGGAGGCGATCGAACACAACTACGGCGGGCATGACGACGACCTCTCTGTGCGCCATTGTACCAACGCTTACATGCTGGTGTACATCCGAGAGTCCAAGCTCAGTAAGCGGCCGTCTGGGGGGGGACGTCATGAGGATGGGTGGCCATTAGAGGACACTGACCAGCCATGTCCCCCACGCAGGCGAGGTGCTGCAGCCCGTCACAGACATGGACATCCCACAGCAGCTAGTTGAGAGGCTGCAGGAGGAGAAGAGGGTGGAGGCCCAGAAGCGTAAGGAACGTCAAGAGGCCCACCTCTACATGCAGGTCCAGGTGAGCGTGTGGGGTCCTGGTTCCGGGTGCGCCCCGCGGTGACTGGGGGAGGTACATCACCCTAAACCGAGGTCCATGCCATTTCAGATTGTCACCGAGGATCAGTTCTGTGGCCACCAGGGCAACGACATGTATGACGAGGAGAAGGTGAAGTACACAGTGTTCAAGGTCCTAAAGAACTCCACACTGGCAGAGTTCGTCCAGAACCTCTCACAGAACATGGTGAGCTCCCCTCCTGCCGACTCGGCGCGTCCATCTGTCCTTGCAGTGGGATTACTGGGGCCCGGGGGAGACAGAGAACCTACAGCCAGGCTTGTGTTGCTGTATCGCAGGGATTCCCGCAGGACCAAATCCGGCTCTGGCCCATGCAGGCCAGGAGCAACGGCACCAAGAGACCAGCCATGTTGGATTACGAAGCCGATTGCAGCAAGTCCGTAAGTGTGCAGCAGCCTGCGTGCCCGTGCGGGTTTGTATTTGGTCCCCACAATGTGGTAAAACCTGCTACATTTTAGCTGATGTCATAGTTAGGGTTATGCCTATGGAAATGAATGGGGAGTCCCCACATTGTTAGGAATACATGAAGTATGAGTATCTGTGTGCAGGTTGTAAAGGCTGTGGACCTCGCTGCTTGCTTGTCTGGGTGTGGTGGTTGTTTTCAAGCGCTGGTGATTTTAACTGCGCTCATTTGTGGCCCTTCCTGCACCAGATGATTGATCTGAGCGATAACGAGAACCCATGGACAATTTTTCTGGAGACCGTGGACCCAGAAATGGCTGCTAGTGGTGCAACATTGCCCAAGTTCGACAAAGACCGTTAGTGTCCATCCCGCCCGCACACAGAGCCTCTGGGCCGCGATGACAGCCTGGATCCATCTGTCCGTCATATATGCGCTGACTTGGGCTCTTTGTTCCCCCACAGATGATGTGATGTTGTTCTTGAAAATGTATGATCCGAAAACAAAGAGCTTAAATTATTGTGGACATATCTACACACCTATATCTTGTAAAATACGTAAGTAAATGAGTAGGGGAGGGGTCAAATAGAGAAAAGTCTGTATTGACGGAAGGCATTAAAGTCCCATTTTTTTCTCTCCAACAAACAGGAGACTTGCTGCAAGTCATGTGTGAAAGAGCAGGATTTCAGCAAGGAACTAACCTTATCCTCTATGAGGTATGCTGTGGGCGGGGCTTCATGGCTCAGGTCTTGTTTCCTGTGCACTGATTGGCTTGTTAGTTGTAAAGTTCTTTTGATTTAGCACTGCTGTCTAATCCAGGTAAAAACAGAACAGCCAGTTTTCTCTAACATAGCCAGGCTACACTTTTCATGCCTAAAGCTTCTTGCGTCGCTCCCCTTTCCAGGAAGTTAAACCGAATTTAACGGAGCGGATTCAGGACTACGACGTCTCCTTGGACAAGGCTCTGGATGAGCTCATGGATGGGGATATAATAGTGTTTCAGAAGTGAGTGCTGTTCTGGTTCCCTGTGGTCGTGCTCCGTTGGTGACCGGCCGCCCGTCACGCTGTCCGTGCCCCTCTTTCCAGGGATGACCCCGAGAATGATGCAGGTGATCTGCTGACTGCAAAAGACTACTTCAGAGACTTGTACCATCGCGTTGATGTCATCTTCTGTGACAAAACCATTCACAACGATCCAGGCTTCGTTGTAACGCTTTCAAACAGGATGAACTACTTCCAGGTATGGTTTTTCACAGCTGGTTTCCAGTAGCAAAAGCTTCAGAAATTCCAGACTATATGTATTCACACTTAATGTACGATAATGGCTAAAACGTTTTCTGCAGGACGATTTGTAAACTGTTCAGCAGTTGATTTTTCATGGCTCAAACTTCATGCAATACCGATCTCATCCTGCAGGTGGCGAAGACTGTTGCTCAGAGACTAAACACCGACCCCATGCTCCTGCAGTTTTTCAAGTCCCAAGGGTACGTGCCCCCTTCAGGAATGACGGAAACGGGCGCTACTGCTCTCTGTTCGACATGCAGTCAGCAGGCTTTTGTCTTTTTTTTTTTTTATTTTGAGCAAAAGTGCAGGCCTAGCCAATAAGGCTCAAAGCCTCGGCTCTACGCGGTCAAATTAACGATCGCCACTGCTGTTTTTAAAGGGCCCGCTAGCTTTTGAACTGGTAACGTTTACCCCCTTTAGCCACATTAAGTGCCCATATGAGTCTCTCCCTTTCTGTGTGGTGCAGATACCGCGATGGACCAGGCAACCCCCTCAGACACAACTATGAAGGCACCCTACGAGACTTGCTGCAGTTCTTCAAACCCAGGCAGCCCAAAAAGCTGTACTATCAGCAGGTGAGCATTCGCGCCCCCTGCCATCGCCACGGTGTACTGCGCTCCCTCAAGGATTAACCTGGCAGGTTCTCTGCTAGCTAGTAGGTTCACCCCAGCGTTTATGCCCTCAGCTGAAGATGAAGATCACAGATTTCGAGAACAGGAGGAGCTTCAAGTCCATATGGCTGAACAGTCAGTTCCGGGAAGAGGTAATAATGAGCATACAGTGGCACAAGCTGATAGATGTATCTGTCACCAAAGAGCTGCCGATGGACTGGGTGTTTTCTGCTGTACAGGAAATAACACTATACCCTGACAAGCATGGCTGTGTGCGTGACCTTCTGGAGGAGTGTAAGAAGGCGGTGGAACTATCTGAGAAGGGTTCTGAAAAGCTGAGGTACGCTACACTTGGTGAATCTTACACTTGTAGGAACAGGGGCAGTCTGAAGAACGTGTAGCTATGTGTGGTTCTGACCATTCCACTAGGAATCTGGGTGGGGTGGTATGTGGCTCAGCGGGTTATAGGGCGCCGTACCTGTGATCAGAAGGTTGTCGGTTCACATCTCACTCTCTCTCCACAGGCTGCTAGAAATTGTAAGCTACAAAATAATTGGAGTTCACCAAGAGGATGAGTTGTTGGAGTGCTTATCCCCCGCAGCGAGCCGGACGTTCAGAATAGAGGTTCGTACCGTCCAGCCTCTCGCCAGACAGATCTGGCTGCCAGTCTCAGGTTTGAAAAGTGTGCCTGTAGTTTTCTGTACGTTTTGTGATGGCCCTCTTCCTCCCGGCCAGGAAATCTCCCTGGACCAGGTGAACCTTGACAAGGAGAAAGAGATGCTGATTCCTGTTGCACATTTTCACAAGGAAGTCTTCGGGACATTCGGGATTCCTTTCCTGCTGAAGATTCGCCAGGTACGCCTCGGGACGTCAGAGATCATGCTCACGCGGGACGCCGGTTTGCTTTCCACCCCTGACATCCGTGAATTTGTCTCTCCTCGCAGGGCGAACCGTTCAGAGAGGTCATGAGAAGAATTCAGACCATGCTGGACATCCAGGAAAAGGAGTTTGAAAAGGTCAGGCTCGTGAGGTTTTCCGGTTTCTAACTACTTATCAGTAAATAAGGAGATGTGGATGATGTCATTGTGGATTCCTTAATAACTATGCAGTACTTTGATTAGCCTTAGGGCTAATGTCTTTTTTTAATTATTTATAGTTCAAGTTTGCGATCGTCATGATGGGACGACATCAGTACATCAATGAAGACGAATACGAAGTAAATCTTAAAGATTTTGAGCCACAGCCAGGTAACTTAAAACTTTAATTGTGTATGTAAATTATTTTAATATTGTCAAAGTGTCTGTCGTGAAATTCCTTTAAAGAGGGTTTTCTCAGTCCAGTACTCAGAGAGCCTAGAGAAGCCACATTTTTTGCTCCCAGTAGGGATGTGGGAGGCAGCATAAAATGTACCTGTCTGGGGCTCTCAAAGAACTGGTTTGAGAAACACTGCTTTAAAGGAACCCAAGTCAATGTGGTATGCAGACGATAAAGCCAGAGTAAGTGAGCGGTGTAGATTTTTGAAATGCTGAAAGGCATAACTTCGGGAATGTGCTCCGTCTCATGTAGCCCTGCTTTTCATCCGCCGGCTGTTCATTGAGAAACCTCTCAACCATGCATTCCCCCCTCCCCAGGGAACATGTCTCACCCCAGGCCTTGGTTAGGGCTTGACCATTTTAACAAAGCCCCGAAGAGAGGCCGCTACACTTACCTGGAAAAAGCAATCAAGATACACAACTGACGTCCCCACCCCAACCCGCTGTACTAAAGACTTTAACCAAACCCTTTGTGTGCATCATTTTAACAGCCGCAGAGTTTGGGCGTTTGGGTACACACGCACCGTTTATGAAGTCTTCAGCAAAACGGATCGCTGCTCCTTTTCCCCTTTTTTTGGGTTCTTTTTTGAGGCTGTTCGATTTGGCTTCTATGTAACTATTGACTGCCTATTTTTGTCTGGAAGAATTCATTGGATTTTAACACGAGAGGACTGTATGAACTTAGGGGTTTTTTTTTTTTTTTGGGTTTTGTTTTTAAAAAAAGCTGCTGCCTGGGGGGCGGAGCAGAGGGATAGATGGAGGGAGGGGCCATTTTTGCAGGAAGGCGTCTGACCTGGTCGCAAGAACCGCAGCTGGCTTGGGCTTGCTAGTTGCCTAACGTGGTTGTCATATTTTCCTGGTCCCTTAGTGCAACTAGTTCACTTCATGTTTACACAATTCTTTCTCACTTAGTTTGGTTGGAGGAATTCAGTTTTGTCTTCTTTCAAATCTTGTATAATAAAAAAAACCACAGCATCCATTAAAAAAAACAAAAAAAAAAATCTAAGCGTCTGTACTTCATCTTGCACGTTGGCACTTAAATCGCAAAGATGATACATTTTTCAGCACTGTTAAATGTAATCTTTGATCCTCCCCCCCGCTTGTTTCAGTTTCCGGAACTCTCCTCGCCATTTTGTTCCCGCCTTGTTGGCCCCTGTCCTTTTGCTGTGGGTTTGGTGACGCCGTTCGGGCTTCTGATCGGCTCGAGGGGTTTTTACTGTAGTGTACATTGGCAACAAACAGCACACCCTTCGCGGTAATGGGTTTAGGACAGTGTTTCCCAATCCTGTCCCTGTAGACCCATAGCCAATCCACGTATTTGCTCCCTCTGAGTGGCCTACCAGGAGAGTCTACATTTTTGCTCCCTCCCAGCTAGGGAGCAAAAACAGGGACTGTCTCTGGGTCCCCCAAGGACCAGATTAGGAAACACTGGTTTAGGATATAGTGAAACCAGCATTATAAACGGAAATCCAGCCCTTTCCAAGCACAGGAGACGTGCTCCCTAGGGTGTAGTTGGCTTTGTAAAGAAATTCAAATTGTATATTTAAAGAATGGACATGTAAAATTAAACACAAATTTTGTTGGTTACAACACAGTTCAGATGTTCATATTCCTTGTGTGTAGTTTTTTTTCCTGATTTTTGTTTATTAACTAATGGCAACAGTGTCTAGTTAAAGTGCAGTACAAAGATGACCTTCAGATCATATCTTTTCTCCAGTCTAATTCCTCCCTGTAGCAGCAGTGTACGACAACTATTCCTGTATATTGCCTTTTTGCTGGAAAATGTATGTTGAATAAAATTTTCTATAAAATGCTGTGCATTAGTCAACTTTGAACAAAGAAACACTTATAAAATTGGGGGGTGGGTGGCTTCTGCGAGCCCCAGGTGTGTCTTTACCACTTACACTCGATTAAAAACATGAACATGGTATCTGGGCTCACTGGGCAGCCTCCCTCCACCGCCATTGGCTGTACTACCTAACTGGTCATTTCCTGTGCTCAGGCATGAGCCTCAACACACTTTGCCTTATAGGTGGTAAGTTTGCTACCAAACAGCCCTTGAATTATGGGAAAATGTTCCAAGCTGCTATCAGCACTGGTTCAAGTCCATCAATTGAATCTGCATACAGACGGCAAAACACGTAATTGGAAAATTAACTGGCTTTATTGAATTGTTGCGTTTAAAAGTACTTCAATACACCATAAGATGTGATTATTTACAAAATATTCATACATCTTGGGATATCCTAGACATTTCTGGGATGACATCTTCCTGGATGCCTTTGTGCATAAAAATGACTTCTGATTAACAATCATTCTCTCACTTGGCCGTAGTTCAGCTGAAGACTGAGCAAGTTTCTGGTACATGCACCCATATTGCTTAACTATGAAGGTTGTGTGAGGTTTGCACTGGCTGTTGAGGAGATCCCAGTGTTAGCAACATTTCTTCTTTTGCACGTTTATGATCTGGTGACACTTGGGGCAGGAGTGGTAGACATCCTTGAAGAATTTCATGAAGAAGGGGAGTAGGCAGCATCCAATCACCAGCCTGCAAGTGAACAGGGTGCCCAATCACCGAATACAACCCAATCAGACGTCGTTAATCAGAAGCGTCATCAGTGACCGACAGCACAACAACGCCCACCATGGATTCTAAGGTACAGATTAGCGTGTGGTATAATCCGAACTAAAGTGATATAATTCAATAATCATTTTCAGTGAATACAGGCACAGAGAAGCGGCACTCTTACCCACAGAGTATAAAGAGCAGGCACATGAGCCATGCATAGGCTCCAACTTTGTAGGTAACTTCAGTCATGACCTGCTGTTGACAGTTTATACATGTCGTCATTCCAGGGGAACGGGACAGCTCGGTTTCATAACTTACAAACTTGTTCTTGGATTCGGGTTGGACTGAGGAGAAAAAATAAAAACAAGAGATGTGACATACAGTAGCTGTGAAAAGTACTTGACCGCACAAAAGCAGGCAGACCTTAAAATCTTCACTGCCAATCTTAGTTAAAATTTAAGTGGGGGGGGGGGAAATCAAAATTTTAAGGCAAGATACTCACCGTTGCGATACGGGGTGCTCTCTGGGGGGGTAAATGGCGTGTGCGGGTGATAGACCTTAACATCATCCGTCTCACCCACTGCAGGTGCGGAGAACAGATCGGTGAGAAAAGCATTAGTTTTTTTGCAGGCTGTTAATATCTTTTCCAAATGCATCATTTCACCCAAATAAGCTGGAGGAGATCTGTTACGCTCTGACTGTAATAGTGTCTGTGCAAATCAATGAATTTACATCTCGAAGCGAAAAGCCCCCATGAAGTGATGATGACTGACACATGGTGTCCAACTCAGCATTGCAGGTTCATCAGGTCTACAGCCTGAGGAAGAATGGAGTGGCAACTCGAGTGTCCATGCTGATGTCAGACTAGGGCCTTGAGATAAGTTAACCTGCGCCTGGGTTCAGCCCCAACGTTTGAGCCCTCAGCTACTTAACGGGAGTTGATCCCATAACTGTGTATGGTGGTTTAACAACAACATGATCACAGAGCATCAGGTAAGCCTTGCCTGAGATGACGTAGGGTGGGGGTATAGTCCCAGGGTCCCCATTCGCCGACGCACTCATGTTCTTCAGCTAAAGGATTTCTTGGGGGAGGGGGGAAGAGAGAGAGAGAAAACATGAGGACAGTCAAGCATCAGGAGGCAGATTGTCACAACAGGATGCATAAATTAAAGTAGGTGAGATCTGCTTCCTGACTGAAACGGACATCGATGCCACACTCCACTGTAAACACGGACAAACTTTGACACACATCAGTCAGTCTGCATCAAGTGAGGCATGCATCTCAGTCAGCCCGTAGCAGAATCTAGAAAAAGAGCACCAGTCATTGGCTCATGTTCCTCAGAAGTTCAACTCAGATTTATTTTTAGATAGCACCTTTCACAACTCAGTTGCCCCAAGGCACTCAAAAAGGTGTGGCAATCTATCATTACATAACTTATACAAAATGGTGCATGAAATGGAAAAGATACAAGTGGAAAGTAAATCCAGAAGACAGAGGAGAGGACCCAGAAACTAAAAAGTAATGAGAAACACACACACAGCCCCTGGTGGTCCAAGGTCAATTGGCTGTGTACCATCTGAACCAGATTACAGAAAGGGTTAAATTGGCGCCCCCTTCTGGATCATTTGTTATATTACACACCTATAATCCAGTCAATCCCGGATAGAATTTTACAACCCGATGCTTCAGCCCCGTCAATACCCCACACACCGTCGTACAGCTTACGGAAAAGTCACACCATGTAGGAACAAGCGGTATTCTGTCGCACAACCAGTGACAGATGTACACGCGTCGCCCCAAACCCTCAGAGATGGATGTGACAGTACTGGGTGTAATCCAGATCACAATCAGCAAGACTGCAAACACACTACGAGTTCAACAAGTAGGTCACACTGAGGAGAGAGTATGGAGAAAGGAATGGAAACTGTTTCTCAGATTTTTTTTGGCAGATCTGACAGGTCGTTTCAGCCAAAAACAGAGGACATTCCTTTGAAGAAAAATGTGCTGACAACTACGATTTTCTCAGAGTGAGTTTTGACTTTTCATTAAGATTAGTAATCACTCCATTCGCAAATCTAGCCTCAGTCTGGACACTCGTTTCCCTGTTCATGGGCAAAATAAATAAATGAATGAAACCGATGAACAGGTGATGTAGAGGACTTGAATGCCTGTACCACACGTGAAGGAACCGCCTAGTAATGATAGAAGGTGAGTCTTCTGCAACCTAGAGCTATGGACATTACTCACCAAGAACTCAAAATACAGTCAAATGTGCTGCTTGACCGGTTCCTGTTGGTTAAAACCAAGCTTCGACTGGCATGACGCACTATAATCCTACTCCGAGTTCTGCACCCTCAGTTCTCCAGTTACATCTCATTAATGCGTTTCCTGCTGAATCCTTTTTGCTTTGTTGTTACAGGCAATGCAGAAATGCTGTACAAAAAAACCCCCAAAATGAAGCTATTTTCCTGGCTGACAACAATTAGCAGTTTAAGGCAAAGCCCCTTAATTCCGGAAGTCCGCACAGACTATTGAGGTTTCTCTTCCTTGCTGCAACAAAACATTATTTTCTTAGGTCAAATTCCTCCTCCCCCCAAAAAAAGAAAGCAAAGCAAACAGCAAAGCTACAGTATGTTACCCTTTTTCTTATAGTATTGTATGAAAAACATTTACTCAAAAACTGTCCCTCTCAAAGATCCTCATGGACCATGCTTAGTCAACATTGTGGTTTGCCCATTATTACTTAATCAATAAACTCCTCTACAAATCACTCCATGGAAATCTCTCCCTACCTCCGTGCACATCCATATAGTGAATCCTCACAGCATCCAGTGGATAAACCCTCATGCTTTGTCTTCCTGCCCTAAAGTCTTTACAGTTCAAAAATAAACCCATAATGTAAATTACTTTCTGCTCAATCATGTACATACGAAGGAAATTGGATTCCAAAGTGCTTTAAGTCATCAAATTCCAAGATAAACACAAAATGGTAATAAATTCATACATCAATGATGATGTCTTTATGTCTGTAGGTGGGTCTGGAATGTCAGTCAGTGGCATTTTTTTCATTCTTCTGTCATATGTGACACTTCCTGTCATTCCTCAGCAGTCTCTTGCAGTCATTCAGAAAGAAGAGCATGATCAGCTACTGGAGGTGTGTCTAGACATGGTTTTAGATTTGTAGCTGCAGACCTGTAAATTCCTTCTGAAGCCAAATGGGCCGTTTTAACACGTTTAAAAATCAAGAAGTGAAAAATTCCTGCAGAAATAGTGATGATCGATGAACCAATACCGCCCACGGTACCAATGGAGACTTGATAAACCCTCAGCAAACTTGGTTTAAAAGGGACCTCACATCAGTCAACCATTCCTTTTAAAAACCATTCCTTTTTTTTAGCTTTCGTTTTGGACACTTCGCTGGGTCACGTTTCAGCGTCGCACGGATAGCAGAAGGCCAGAAACTGCGTGTAGCAGATGTGAAGTTCGAGTAAGATTGGTCATGTGAAAGGCCCCGATCGGGCATATTGGATACACAACAATACACCGGAATGAGGAAATTACGCCGATCTCAGAGTCCTGGAAATCCCCACAGTGCTATAAATAATCCAAGTCAATCAATCAATCACTCAACACCAACAAAGAAAAAAAAAGCTGCGAGGATGCTTTAACTGTTTTGGTCGCGTATAGGCATCATCGGGCACAGTCATAAACACCAGTCGAGAGTTTATAAGCTTTTCCAAAAACCATGTATAAATGTGCGAACTTTACTCTGTTGTCTTCCCATGCTAATAATTCGTTCATATTCATGATACATTGACATCCATCGTCTGTTTGTATTTAGAGAATTAAAAGGCGACGTATTTAAAGGTAAATCATATGTAGCATTTCTCATTAACTTTAAAACACTGAATAAAATGCTTAATTGTGTTGTAAAGGTATTAAAAGACATTTAAAGGATCTTACCTGTGTGCAAAACAGTGATTCTGTACTAAATGATCAGCTGTCAATAGACTGCCGCTATTTATACGACACCACCTCTGGTTTGAATTAAGAGGAAAATGAATATGCATGGGTCTGAGTCACGGGCCAGGTGATTGGGTCGGTGCCATTCTGTTTGCTTTGCACATCTGAGGAATCCTTCCTACTGCTAAACCTGTTTCTCCCCCGACAAAGGCAGGCTCTGTCAGTCGCTGACCAAGAATGTGCCCCGGTCTGCCTGGGACACTGACTGTCACGGCGTCACGCGCCTGCATGTCACTGACACATCTCTGCTTTTTTTCTGATTTTTTGATGGGTTTAAGTGTTGTTACGCTTTTTTGATCCAGATTGGTATCGGGTTTTTTTTTTTGCTCCCTGTGGCTGTCAGAGTTGCAGCTAACGTTGCATGGCAAGGGGAGTGGAACAAGGATTTACTAAATAAAAAATGCTTTATGTTTGTGTTCTGTAAACAAAACCCAATACCGTAAAATATACCGGAACTTTTCCCCTGGGGGATTCTCATGCATTTTACCGAAGTAATTTTAACACATGTAAACAGTAACCATCAAGCACGTGCAGTGGGGTGGGGGATACCTGAGCAGCCGCCCCTCGAAAAATCTGTGCACGTCATTGCCAACCATCATGCTATTACACTCAAAAGTAGGCCTAATTTGGTAATTAGCCTAAATAAACTTCAAGGAATTTAATTGACGGAATTTTAACGCTACTATTGGTGAAGTTCTAACTTCCTAAATTTATTTCTAAATAGTCACAGAAAAAAAAATGCAGAAAGAATAACTGACGCCATAAAACACATATAAGGTACTATTAATAGGATAATTGTAATTGGTTTTGTTAATCATCAGCGAAGAGTGTTCCTGATTAGGTGAATAGCTGAAAGCCAATGCATCGTAAATGATCAACACGTTTGTAATGCATGGCCGTCAATGCTGGCGGAGCCAGAAAATTTTCTGTGGGGTGGCCAGGGTGGCAGGGAGGTCATTTTGTGGTGGAACATAAATCTAAATATGAATACAAGGCATATTAAGGGAATATTTAAGGTACTTTAGGTAACTATACATTGTTTATAATTCAGGCAGTGGTAGAATTATCAAATACACAGTTAATGTATTAATTTCTTGCAGTCAAGATAACAACCTTACACTAAGTACAAGATTCATAAAACTTCCGCATCACTGTTCTGAGAGCAAATGTTTAGCTCAGTAGTACTATGAGTTCATTATCTGTCAGTGTATCATCAGAGACACAGAGAAACAGTAAAGTAATAAAATGAGTGTTTTTTTTTATCACTCTGATTTAACCAGAATGCAAATACGCCGGGGGTGGCCAATGGGATGGCCAGGGTCACCCCTTGCCACCACTACCCCCCAGGTCCGTGTATGCCAGTTATAGGCTATAGCGATCAATATTTATTTGTGCACATATGTGGGAATTTCCTACATATGTTACTGCCGTGGGTCATACTGCGAAGGGTGTGGTGTTGTGATACTGGTGTGGGAGGCGTATTCACACTCAGACTAGGGGCCGCTGTTTGTGTGAGTCAGCTGGAAGATTGCTGTTGCTCCAGCGGAGCAGCATTCCTGTAGACGGAGGTCTAAACCGGTTTTTGGGAGGGGATTAAAGTTAGGGGGCCTGAACGGTCTTCTGAACAAAATCGGATCAAAATAGGCATTCTTTGTGACAACACCCTCTCCCGCCCTGTACACACCCCTTCCCTTTTCTACACCAGTCGGTGGTACTCGATCGGTACTAGCTTACTGCAGAGGTCCACGGTGGTATTTTTAAGGCGATAAACCTTAAAGACAGCAATAATAACGTTTTGGTCCAGTAACCTGATTTTAATGCGGTAACTTTTATTAATTGTTAATTATTCATTTCAACACTGCATGACGTCTGGGACTTTCTTTTAAAATCCACAGAGTACACTCCGATGCCCTGATGCAGGAGCCCAACCGGACGCTGCCGAATTACCTTACAGTCAGGAAAAATAAATTAAAAAATATTAATTTATTGAAATGTCGCCATTGGCTCCCTCAGATGAGACCTTTGCACCATTAAAAGCTTTACACTGACACAACAGGAAATGTATTCGACGAATATTTTATTTAGCTAACAAACCGCTATTTGTGTCACTGTGACCTGAAGGGAAATATCTCATGCTTATTTTCGAGAAATCCTTCCCCGTCACAGGGTTGCCAACTCAAATGCATCTCGCGTGATACTCACGCTTTCTGACGCTCACGTAAGAAATCTTTAGGCAAATCTATATTATTCCATTATAAACCTAAACTTAGCTACATCAAAAGCGTTGAGGTCGTTTGCACACCCTACAGACTATTTACAACTGTTACATACATGTAAACGTGTGTGCAGACTTGTCTCGAATGGAAAACCTCACGCCAGCCAGCTGACCAAAGCTGGCAACCCTGCTGTGTCTATGCTTTCTTATATGCGGGTTTGCAAGTTGTTGTTGTTTGTGGGGAGGGGGGTCTTTTTCACTTTATAAAAGAACGTCTTATTTCTGGGCTCTGGTCACTTTACTATTTAGCCTATTTATTGTCATGTTACTGACACTCGCATTTATTCTTTCTCTTTGCTGTCACGTTATTTTGTTTCATTATCTTGTGTCACTGTAAACATGTTTAAACTTTATCCTCCTGATACCCGACCTATTCATTTATGTCCATTGCAGTGGACATTGTATTTTTGCATTTATTTTTTCGCTGATGTTGGGAAACGTATTTATTCCTGTTGTGCACTAAAGAGCACATGCTGTGAAATTAAAATAAGAATAAATTTGAAAAAATCTAAATTGTAAGATGTCTTATTTCCTCCAAAGACAAATAACCTACAATTGAAGGACACTTTTTTCCTTGGGTCTCAGGAGGATATGGTACGTCAATAAAACCCCTAATAATAATTCTACTATTGAACAGGAGGAGGCGCTGTGCCGCCCTAGTGTGACCCGTTTCGGATAGGATATTGTGCCGGCTGATAGTGGACTGTCAAAGTAAAAGGAAATGCAGACTTCCCTTCACGCGAAAGCTTATCTGAAGCTGTTAAAAAACAATGATATGAGTAGAAAATTGGGTAAACTGGCAAACCCTTATCTCACCCAATGAACACGAATATTTGTGATACGTAAAGAGTTTTTAAAAAGTTGGTTTTAAATAGAAGTAGGTATAGATGCGGGCTTGGTGCCTGTCGCTGCAGCAGAGATTGATCTGATTTTAAATGAATTCAAGAAATATCTTAAAGGAGCACTGACGTCTGAATGTGGACAAAATTGCTGATGCCGACATAAACTGCATGTTTCTATGCGAAGCCATATTGTCTTCTATTAGTATAAAGCTTACTCATCATAATTTAATTCTTGCCAGTAAAAATAACATTCTTACTAGAAAAATATACTAGTATTATATAATTTCTACTAATTCTTTTTATAGAGCTCTATAATTCCTTTTTACTATAGTCATATATATATTCCCATTGACTTCAACCGTATTATTGCCTCACATATCCTAATTTCAGTTTATTTTTTACTAGGAATAATTCCTATTGTATATATCTGTAATTACATTTTGACTAGTATAGGCTACTAGTAAAAACACAATTCTTACTAGTGAAAATAATGATTCGTACTAGTCCTAAGAAAACTATAGATATTTAAAATTCACATTCTGACTAGTAAAAATTAATTTTTTATTAGTTAGAATGTTATATCTACTAGTAGAAACCAAGTTGTGTCGAGTAAACCTTATACTAATAAAAGACTATATTTGGCTTGCTATACTGGTTTGTCTGAGTACAGTACGTGTTGTTTAGTCTGGCGTGCTTTTAATACCGTGGTTAATGCTTTACGTGTTTTAATAAGTTCTTAGTGTTACCTTTGAATTCTTGCGAACTGAGCAACACTTTCTGTATGTATATTCATCGTGCAGCAGTTTAAGCAAAAATATGTCATAATGTATTAGCGGGCTGAAGTCAGGTTGTACAGTATTTCACATGTGACCCAGTGCCGTAGCCGGGATTTTTGAAATACCGAGGTCAAAAGTGATACCGCTTCCTATAGGTGTGCCCTGTAAAGAATGTCGTGGTTACTGGAGTTGCAGAAAATACTGAGGACTTGACCTCGGTGTTCTCACTGGTAGATACGGGCAGATCGACATGCACTCATCACTCATTTTTAATATTACTGCGCAAACTGTTAGGATGCTTGGGATTGGGAGTGTTGAGATGGGGAGGATTATCCCCCTAAATAATATCACATATAATGTCTGATTTACAAAAAATACATACGATTGATGTGTGTCATTATATAATTATTTTCTTTCAATTTGTATTTGGAGAATCCCTACTCTCCGTTAAAACGGTTTCTTCCCAGATAGCATCATGTTATTGTTTCAGCGTTGAATTATAGTTAAATGCGTTGAATTATGGCCAATGTTAAATTATCAACGTTGAAACTGAATTGATTTTTGGTCGAATTTTCAATATTGAAAAATTGATGGTGGCAAAACCTTGATTCAGTGTTGATATAAAGTGATCAAGATTGAAAATCAACGTTTTTGTCTGATATGGAATCAATGTCATTTCAGCATATGTGTGCTATCCGGGTTCTCAGCTCCCGCTCCAGCAGTCAGACGCTCAGCTCCAGACCCGAGAGTAAAGAGCCGATTAACACAGATAGCGCTCAGCGTAAAGGCGCAGTTCGGCTTTGAATGTAAATACTTAACTCAGTGAAGACTTTGTATCCCAACCAACAGGTAATCAATTAAAGGTTATGTGAAATGGTGGAATTTAATCGTTTTATGTCGATTAAGTTTCAAGGTAATCTTATTTACTTGTGCAAACTGCAACTAGCTTGGTTAGATAACAGCATAGCACAAATAGCAACGCTGATAACGCAGCGGTACATAGCGTTTGTGTCAGTTACAATTCTCACCCTACCGTCATTGCTGTTACGGCGTAAGATTGCGTAAGAAGCCCATCAAAAACAGGGACAGACCTGGCATTTATTTGGAAAACACCGTAGAGTGAGTCATTAAAGAACCAGAAAC